CCGCATCTCCCCTCCGCCACCGCGCGGGGAGGAGCGCGCCCTGCGGGCGCCTCCGGCGGAGCCTACGCGGGCCAGGCCGACTGCCCCGTCGGGTCCCCAGGTAGAGCCCCTTCCCTTCCGCAGGCGATCTCCAAGGCACTGAAATTTCACCTAAACAAGACACGCTCAGCTCCCTCCTGCTCTCCCTGCTCTTCTCCCCAGCTCCTCCGCTCTCGAGATGTCAGCGGGTTAAAGCGTCCTGCTTGCCCTCTCCCTTGATCTCGGGGAGAGAGGTAAGACTTGCTGGCACCTTTATGGGACTCAGACCTGCTGAGGCTGCGAGAAGCGCTGGCCCCCGCTAACTTTGATCGTCTTTATTCATCCCAGCTGCGCTCTATTTGTTTGTCATTTCGCCTCTCCCCTCCACCCTCTTTCTTTTTCCTTCCAGAATCGTTATTTATGGTCTGAAAAGTGAAACGCGCCACTGTTTGCCTTTACATGGACTCTTCTGCAAACGAGAGTGAGAGACACCTCCATTCTTCCCTCCGACTTCCCCCTCTCGCCAGGGCGGGGGATGCCAAAAGAAAAGAGGGTGGAAAATAATATTAAAAAAGCTGTCTCAATCATTATCAAATCAGCTTTGAGATCATTACTCCAGAGTATTAACTAATTACCAGATCAGAGAGAAGAAAAAATAAATATTCCTTTAAATAACTGAAGGTAATTATAACCCTGTTGTTGACACTAATGATTAATAATTGATCGGAAGTTATACACAATAAATTGTCAATTTATCTCCCTATAAAAATGCACGTAGTTATGTTTTTTTTTCTTCCTTTTCTAGGCGTTTTTAAGAGCCCGAGCAACGACAGGAACACGGCCACTGCATGAAGAGCAGGAAAGATTTTTTTTTTCTGCCCAGATATTCCGTATTTTGAAAACGGAATGTGTGACGGATGACACAAGCCCGGGTAGAGCAAAAGTGACTGTCGCTGCTGGCCTGAACAGCCGCATGTCCTCCCCTCTTTTTCTTTCACTGTGTCCCCAAATCCCGAAGGGAGCAAAGTTAATGGCGTATTTCAGAAGCAGCGAGGCACCTCCCTTAGAAGCAGAGCCGTCGTGGTTCCTCTGTCCCTTACTTTTGCTAAAGGAACACGCTGCGGCTCGGTCCGGATTGGATGCAAAATAGTGACAGTCTCCTGTGACTCACGGATGGGAGCGAGGGAGAGACAGGGGCCAGATTGCAGGAGCGCAGCTGCCACCGCGACCAGGGTGCTTACAGGTAAAGCACCCCTCCGGGATACAGAGCCTACCTCCACATCGCTCCCTGCATTTTTTAAAAACCCATCTAGGTACATATGCCCTCCCGAGCGCACTTTCCTTCTGAAGTTTTAATAAAAACTCTGCTTCAAAGTCAGTAATCATGGATTAGATGCATGGGTGCATTTGAATATTCACCAAGGAATCCTTTGTTCCTTTTTTTTTTTTTTTTTTTTTTTTTTTAAGAAGACAGGAACATATCTGAGTTATTCCTTACTGGACTAAAAACAAAGGGGTGAATTTCATGCACAGCATTACTACCTTGACTATAACTGTTAACTTTACCACTATTCTGCTATTTCTACAGTTCGATCAGCTCGGTCTTGAGGTGCTTACCCAAGCGCTAGGGAACTAGGGAAGTGTCTGGATGCAGAGCGCGACTAAAGAACCTAAATGTAAATCTTGTCTCTCATTCTCTCCTTTTTTTTTTTCTCCCTCAAAGTTAATAAGTAATAAAGTCCTTCCGATACTGACTGCGCTCCTGCTACTGTTTATCAACGGTGCGTTGAGCCTTAACTCCGCTTAAGTGAGACGTAGCATGGGACGGGCTCAGAAATTTCCAGAGGCGGTGGGTTTTTCCCGGCCCAGAGGGGCCGCCACGGAGCAGTGACCGCGGGGCCAGCGCCGCCGCCGCCGCGCCGGGGCCGGCGGCCTCCGCCTCCCTCGGTACTGACCGCTCCTGAGCCAGGTAGGTCGGCCAGGTAGGGCGGAATGAGAAATTAGATGGTGCATCTTGCAATTTGTTTCCTCGCCTAAAAATTATCCCTCCCCCAGAAGCCTCAAGACTTCCTCCAAGCGTGAGCATTTGGAAAGCCTCATTATTATTATTATTACTATTATTATTGTTGTTGTTATTACTTCTGCAGTCGCTCTTTTTATTAAGGGTAAGCATACCCGCGGCTAGCATGCAAATGTAGTGGAAACAGAAACACGGGCGTCTATTGAGATTTGTGTTAACTTTTCCCCGGTTTCGTCTTTCCCCTCAAGCCCTCAAGCCGCGACCTTGCGTGTCCAGGAGCAGTTCCCATGTCTGTCTGTAGGTCTGTCTGCTGCCGGCCTGCGCTGTGTTGAACTTCCATTCCCATCTCTCCACTCAAAGAAAGGTGAGTGACGCTTTTTTTTCCCGCTCTCCAAGGCGGTTGGTGAGCAGAGCAGCTTTCCTGAAACAATAACCCTTTTATTGAGAACGAATGTTGACATTTGCAGGGAGCGCAGCGCAGCGCAGGCAGCACAAAGTGGCAAGCGACCCTCTTCCTTCCTACTTGACGACAGCGCTAATTCCTCGGGGATCCCACCTGAGATCAAAGCTTGAATTTCAATAAATCAGCTCTAATGAAACCTCTGGACCTAAAGGGGGGAGTGAGGGGTTGTCTTCCCCGCTCCGAAACAGGCACAGAAAAGGAGGCAGGGGGAGGGAATGGAGAGGGGGAGGTAAATATAGAAAGTGGTGTGAGATTTTCATCCCAGCGGGACGATTAGCATCGTTGCGAAATAAACTGTACACAGAGTGCTGGATTTTATCATGCATGATTCTTTCTGAAATAATCGCATCGTCTGTGCCAACAAGCTACACTTTCCTTCTGCTTTTAATTTGGATTATTAAATCTCGAATGGTGTCGAATATGCATTAATTACTTGTTTAAATATATACGTTTTATATATATCGTTTGGGTGTCGCCCGTATGAATCCGTGAACCACTCGTGAATTTCTCAGAGGATGAGAGAAGTCCCCCGGGTTTTACATACATAGTGAATACTTAAAAGCGAGTTTCCCAAGTCTTTCTACTTTTCTTTCCAGAAAGAAATCCAGGTCTAAATACTAGCAAGGGTGGGTAAATTATGGAAATCTTTTATAATTCTTTGGGCGTATAAACATCAAAGGAATGTCGTTAGCCTTTTTTAATCTCTGCCACAGCTTTTGGTTTTCTACCAATTGAAATGTACACATTGTGTCCAACAGAGACCTGAAGCAGAAAAAGCAAGCGGTGGAGGTGGATGGAGCAAGAGGTATAGTTGGGGAAAGTTCCGAGGTCTCCCATAGCATAAAAACTCTCCATGTAAAATGTTCCTAAAGTGCACTATGAAGATGGTTTCAGGGTGGTTGCAGTAAATGTTTGCATCTACATCATTCTTTAATTAGAGGGAAAAATAAAATCTGAAGCACTCTTAAGCTTAACGAATAAGATCTGAAGTATTCTTATTCTGAAATATTCTTAGTTCTTATCTAATTGCATTATATACTGCACACAGATAAGGCTGCATTTTACCTCATAAAAATGCTATAGGAACAGAGAAGCATAATTCTCCAGAACATAAAGCAGAAGAGTAGGCCTCCAACTGTAAAGATCTTCAGTGTTTTATATTTAGCTAGATGAATCCCAGAGTTTTCAAGAATTACACTGTTAATTTCTGCCTTAACAGATTAAAAATGCATATATTCTCTCAATCAGACAGCTTTATATGGGTAAAATATGTGGGGGTGGTGGGGAGGGAAGGGAAGAATGGATAAAGTTGAATGTTCGCATTTAAAAAATGCACTTTCCTTTCCCTCCATTTAATATAATCATGCCTTTTTTATTATTATTATTTTTTCCTGACTCCAGCCTAGAATGGCATTTTATCCAGTTAACATTCCCAAGGCTGATGCCTTAAGTATCTAAGATCACTTTCAAATGCCCTTTCTAACAAGACCCGAGCAAGAGGCCACTAATTTTCACTGAACAAAAAGCCACTGGAGAGAGATCCGTTTGTCAATATCAACTAGTCCAGCAATTTCCCATCTTCAGACACATCAGCCTATCTGAGCTGGCAGATGTTTAGACAAGATTTTATAAATTGTTCAATATCAAACCATAATGAACCCCAACTGACCATTCCAAAGCAGCTAAAAGCATTCAGGATCTCCCCTGCTGGGATCTAATAATGCTCTCACGCTGGAACATTATTAATCATGGAATAAAATAGATGAGCCTCTTGAAAAATAAGTGTATGATTGATTAAAGGGCAATCTAAGAAGCTATTATTCTTGTTTTATAACCGTAAGTTATATTCACTCAATTTATCTTTTGGGGAAAACAAATGATTTTTTTTTCCCTGAAATTATATTATATGAGGATTTCCATTATTTTCCTGAGAAGTAAATGATTGGTTAGCTGTTTTTATGAACCCTATCAAGGTGGCTTTCTAATGCACCTATCAAACTAAAGATATGGTTTACTGATATAAAAGAGTTGACAAAAAAAACAACGCGGAGGGGAATTTTGAACTCACTTTTTACACGTTATATTTTAGCTAGAAGAAGAAACAGAGAAATTAAAAATAAGTCATAGGAGATTTCATTTTCCCCCTAGAAAAATGATGAATTTAGAGAATTTAATTTCATTAAAAAGCTACTTCACACCCAACATAAATACTTTATAAGAAACATGCATGTATTAATCTCTCTCTCTATGCCTACGTGTGCATATATACAAATATGTATTCACACACATGTGTATCTTAACAGATTCAGTGTGATAGAACAACCCAGAAAGAATTAATTTATGCAAACTAAATCTTTTCAGTGTATTAAAATTGCTTATTCATTTTATGGTCTAAGCTGCACTAAGTGAAATCACAACTTTTGTCATTTTCTAAATAATGGATTATTATTTGAGGGGAAATGAATGGAAAACACCATATTGTTGCAGACTAGTCTGTTTTTATTTACAATTAGAGATATAAATTAGTAAAGAATTCTCATTAAACAACCAAAGATTGTATAACCATCAACGTTTCAAATAAAAAACAGGCAAAATTTATTTACAAAAAGTTCAGATTCCATTGCAATACAACTTGCATAAATTACTAGAAGCTTTATATCATTACAAAAATAAATATCAAATTTGTTTCCACTTTATAAGGACTCAAGTTTTCCAATCACGTCTTTATTATCTCTACTGTATACATCTTTTACAAATAAATTTTACAATAAGTCCTATCACACCTATCGAATATATATCGTGGCAATGGAGTGATCAATTCAAGATATCCTGAGAAAAACAGATCTGTTTTCAAAAGTCACACATACATTGGGGAAACTATACTATACCAGCAAACTCACGTATGTCCAACAAAATTCTGGTTTAATAATTAGACTTTGAAGATTTAATAGTGCTCTGTGGTCTTCTTTTATACAGTGGCACAAGATGTGATCCGCATTTAGAGATTTGTTATATATATTAGCTCGGGGAGAGATGATGGCTTGCTGACTTTATTTCAAAGCAATTGTGACACCTACCTGTGGACCAAGGAAAAAACCACATCACCCAAAAGTCTTTCAATTACACGCTGACACCATTAAATAGTAAAAAGGGGGTGAGGCAAAATTCTTACTCTTCTAATTTCTTTTAACAAAAAAATTAGTTAGAAATACCGTCAAGATGATTTTTGTTGTTGTTTATTTAGTCGTAAATACAGAGGTATTATGAGTGCCATTGATAGCTAGGCAAACCACAGTTAACATACCCTGTTTAAGATGCATGCCGATTTCTTAAAATTGCCTCCCTCTATTTTAAATCTGTAGCCACTATATACAGTCATCTAATTTATGATGCACAATTCTCGCACTGCCACGTTAGCAGAAGTCCTTTATTTTTAAGCAGCAATACCTTAGAGAATATTTCTGTAAAGCTTTCCATAGCATTTAAATAGTTCTCCTCTGTGTGCACTTTCTTATTTTTTGTTTTGTTTTTCCTTATATAAGCAAAGAGTATGCAGTGTTAAGGAACTGGCTAATCTGGCTTCAAAATGAGTATTAACCCGAGAAAGAAAAGCTGTAATGAGAGGTTTTTAAAAAAAGGCAGCCTTGCTTTGTAATCAGAAATAATGAAGCAAGAAATGAATGGTAAGCAAGTTTAGAACTGTGCAGTATGTCGTGGACCTGATGCCAAATGATCAGTGTAATAGAAAAATGTTCCCACTTACTTGCATTGCTGTGTGATTGCACTTCTATAGGTACGGTTGTACTCCTACTGTGCAGACTTCAGTGGGATCTGTCAAAATATAACCGTCAGTTAGTCACAGGACACAGCTAGCTAACTAGATTATACAGTTTAGGTATGTCCCAGCCTTCACCCACACACAATTTATAGCTAAATCATTTGAAAGACTTTGGACAGTGTTTTAGAATTGACTTTATATCGAGAAGTATTTTCTGTTTTAAGGTGACAAATACATTTACATAAAACATTATATTAAAGAGAGGCAGAGAGTTAAAAAAATCATGTTACATGTAGTTTAATGCCCAAGGTTAGTGATTATCTGAACCCAAAGCTCCAAAATAAGTGGGGATATTGAAATCAAAGGGAGGAATAGCAGTGTGCCAGGAAGGAGAAGAGAAGGAGAAGAGAAGAGGCCAGGAAGGAGAAGAGAAGGAGAAGAGAAGGAGAAGAGAAGGAGAAGAGAAGGAGAAGAGAAGGAGAAGAGAAGGAGAAGAGAAGGAGAAGAGAAGGAGAAGAGAAGGAGAAGAGAAGGAGAAGAGAAGGAGAAGAGAAGGAGAAGAGAAGGAGAAGAGAAGGAGAAGAGAAGAGAAGAGAAGAGAAGAGAAGAGAAGAGAAGAGAAGAGAAGAGAAGAGAAGAGAAGAGAAGAGAAGAAGGAAGGAAGGAAGGAAGGAAGGAAGGAAGGAAGGAAAGAATGCATTTATTTTTCCTTTTAAAATGGCTTTTAGCTGCATGTGAAGCGAGTGAAACTGCTTAAAAAGCGGTCTTTCACATTTCCTCTCTTCATTTCTAGAGGCAAGTATTGATGTGATGGTGACATGCAATTTTTAATCCCCAGATAATACTATTGCCCATCTTCAGTCCACATAGCGATGACAGCATGCTTGCTGTTTTGACCAAAGAAGGTTTTTATATTTAAAGTATATAAAAAATTATGCTGGTTATGGAAGTGGCAGGGGAGCAGGGAGAAGAAAGCAGTAAAAACAAATCACCTACCTTTCTTAGAGTCGTAACTAGAGGGCCTGTAATGCTGTTCTAGTTGGTTAGTGATGGTTTTCAAAGAGTCACTGCTCTGCTTGTGAACAGAGCTGGCATTTAGGACAGTCTGACTTAGTCCCTCGTTTGAAGCCACTGCTGCGGAGTTGTATCTCAGGATTCCCTGGCTCTGGAGTGCGTTAAAGTTCCCATAGTTTGTATAATTGCTATAAAAAGGTGAGGTGTAATATATATGCCTCCCCAGGAGGGAGGAGGGCGAGTAGGCAGCGCTATGCGGGGTGGAGGCGGGGGTGGCCGAGGACAGAGCCGGCGGCTGGCAGCTGGGGCCCAAGTGCTGGCTTTTAAGGTCCGAGGTGGCTATTTCGGCCAGCGACCAGAGCTTGGGCTTGGTGGCGGGGGCTGGGGGCCCGGGCGAGGCCTTGCTGCCGCTGCGCGCGGCGTCGGCGTGAGGATGGCCCAGACTTCTACTGCCTCCTCCTCCTCCTTCTCTTCTTTGCCCTACCTCCTCTTCCTCCATGTCCTCCTCTTCCTCCTCCTCCTCCTCCTCCTCGACGTCCTCGTACTTGTCCTTGCACTCCGATCCCGACTCGCAGAGGGGGTCGCCCGCACGGCAGGGCAACTTCTCGCCGTCCGACTCCGCGGAGCACGAGTGGTCCGTGAGCGAGTCCACTTGCAGGCTGATCCCTGCAAGGCGTGCGCCGGGCACGGAGAGGCACAGTCAGGGGAACCGACAAAAGCGCGCGGCCGAGCAACGCGCG